ATCAGACCCCCAAAATTCAAACACCCAATCCAAAAATGGGCATCTGAGATGAATAAACAATTCTCAGATGAAGAAATACAAATGGCAAATAAATATATGAAAAAATGTTCATCATCACTGGTCATTAGAGAAATGCAAATCAAAACCACACTGAGGTTTCATCTCACTCCTGAAAGAATGGCCAAGATCAAGAAAACCAACAACAACAAATGCTGGAGAGGCTGTGGGGAAAAAGGAACTCTCTTGCACTGTTGGTGGGAGTGTAGACTAGTGCAACCATTGTGGATGTCAGTCTGGAGATTTCTCAGAAAACTAGGACTGGAAGCCCCATATGACCCAGCTATTCCTTTTCTAGGCATATTCCCAGAAGAACTGAAAGCATCATACCACAGTGATATATGTGCACCCATGTTTATAGCAGCACAATTTGTAATAGCCAGATCTTGGAGGCAACCTAGATGTCCATCAACTGAAGAATGGATAAAAAGGTTGTGGTATTTTTATACAATGGAGTACTACTTAGGTATAAAGAATGATCGCATTGAGACATTTATAAATAAATGGACGCAGCTTGAGACCATACTCATAAGTGAAGTAAATCAAACTCACATATATAAATACCGAATAATTTCCCTAGTGTAAGAAATGATAAGCATACATAGAAGTATGTGGTAATCATGATTCCCAATCATATTGGTTTGAAGCCATATAATGTTTTCACTCATTAACCGCCATGGTTTTAACCTGGGTTGTTTTATTTTAGTATCTATGATAGCACAAATAGCTATTTTGAAGAAAGCAACACAACATAAATGCTAGTGCTGATTTAATATCGTCTTGTTTTAAGGTCCCATCAAGCTGTAGTACGTCTGTTTCCACTGGTTTTAAAATGTTGTATCTTACTATATTTCACTATATGCTATAGTATAAACAAATATCTTTATAGGCAAAGAGATAATATAGAAACCATTGTTTTTTTCTATGAGCAGGTTCTAAATACCCTGTAATTCTTTTTTTTTTTTTTTTTTTGTCTTTTTCATTTTTATCGGTACCGGGGATCGAACTCATGACTGCCTGCTTGCTAAATACCCTGTAATTCTTCCATTCTCTTGAAAGGCTTCACACTGTCTAGATATGCTTGATATTATAGCATGCGAAGTTACACTCAAATAATTTAAGGAAAGAGGCACTACGGTGACTACTATTATGTTAGATTATCTGGTGGTGAAATACAATGATGCTTGAATTGCTCGGTTCTGCCATGCATTGTTCTATTGCAATATCTTCTCTTATCTCAATCTTCCTCCTATTTTTAAATTAATCTATTTTCTCTCATTTTTTTAATCAAGGGAAAACTTAATTAAAGAATAATGGGACATATTATAGTAACTTTTTTGTTTTCCTATTAACCTGACTTGAACCCCAGTATTGCTCTTGCTCTGTCTATTATTATATATTCTATTTTGTTTGATAGTATAAAGTTTGAGGGTATAGGCAATCACTTTGAAGGCAATAAGATATACTATGATGCCCAATATGGATTGACTATCATCCTTTATTTTTTTGAAGTCCTGTAAGGTCCTCAGTGTAGATTTTATTGGTTTTGTTCCGTACTGTTTTGATCAATTCTATTATACCTGATGATATGGATAACTCAATTTGAAAATAGCAAGAGCCACAATGGTAACCACTTTTGATCACCTGGTATTCTATTTTTGCATCACGTGCTATGCCCACCCTTCTGTTCTAACTAACTCTGTTTTGCTTAGTCACATTTGGTTTTATTCTCTTCAAAATGTAATAAGAACCGTGAGAGTAATAAAACCCTAAAAGTCTAATTGTTACTGTAAAAAACAGAGGAAAGCAAGATGGACTAAGGGATATAACCGCAGGTATGTTCGAGAGTGTAGGACAGAAAACCATATAACTGAGCTTTTTTTGGATCATTGAACAGAACTGTCTCCAATTCCACTGTATGAATGTTCATTTCATATGGTTTAATTTAGTGATATGGACAACTGTTTCTGGGAAGATAATGTGTAGCCTGTTAACTGGTGATTTCGTACTGTATATATTTTTTTCTAGAAATACTGTATTATTTGTACCCTTTTACTGCATTGTTTTTTTATGTCCTTTTTTTTTCTTCTCTTTAAATAAAAAAATAAGAATAGTAAGGACAGTTCTAAGCAGCAAAGGCAAGGCAGGAGGTATCACAATCTCTTACTTGAAGTTTTACTACCAAGCAACTATTAAATCAAAATGGTACTGGAGCCAAAACAGAGCCGAAGATCAGTGGAATAGATTAGAAGATACAACCACAACTACAAACACACTCAACCATCTTATCTTTGATAAAGGGGTTAAACAGGTTCACTGGAAGAACGACAGTCTCTTTAATAAATAGGGTTGCAAAAACTGGCTCTCCATATGCTAAAAACTAAAACTAGCCTCATGCCTATCGCCATGTACTGAAATAAAATCTAAATGGATCAAAGATCTAAATATTAAAACGGAAACACTAAATCTATTGGAAGACAAATTGGGTAAAAACCTTGAAGACATAGGAGTAGGTGGAGAATTCATGAACAGGACGCAAACCGCTTAGGAAATACTTCCCAGAGTCAATAATTGGGATTGCCTCTTATTAAAAAGTTTCTGCACGTCAAAAGAAATCTCCAGCACAGTGAAAAGAAAACCCACAAACTGGGAAAAAATCTTAGTGAACTGCCCCTCAGACAAAGGACTTCTGTCTAAAACATATAAAGAATTTTAAAAAAAATCAGACCCCACAATTCAAAGACCCAATCCAAAAATGGGCGTCTGAGGTGAATAAACAATTTTCAGATGAAGAAATACAAATGGCAAATAAATACATGAAAAAATGTTCACCATCACTGATCATTAGAGAAGTACAAATTAAAACCACACTGAGATTTCATCTCACTCCTGAAAGAATGGCCAAGATCAAGAAAACCAACAACAACAAATGCTGGAGAGGCTGTGGGGAAAAAGGAACTCTCTTGCACTGTTGGTGGGAGTGTAGACTAGTACAACCATTGTGGATGTCAGTCTGGAGATTTCTCAGAAAGCTAGGACTGGAAGCCCCATTTGACCCAGCTATTTCTCTTCTAGGCATATTCCCAGAACTGAAAGCATCATACCACAGTGATATATGTGCACCCATGTTTATAGCAGCACAATTTGTAATAGCCAGATCTTGGAAACAACCTAAGTTTCCATCAACTGAAGAATGGATAAAAAAGTAGTGGTATTTTTATACAATGGAGTACTACTGAGCTATAAAGAATGATCACACTGAGATATTTATAAATAAATGGACGCAGCTTGAGACCATACTCTTAAGTGAAATAAATCAAACTCACATGTATAAATACCAAATAGTTTCCCTAGTGTAAGAAATGATAAGAATACATAAAAGTATGTGGTAAACATGATTCCCAAACATATTAGTTTGAAGCCATATAATGTTTTCACTCATTAATTGCAATGGTTTTAACCTAGGTTGTTCGATTTTAGTATCGGTGATAGTATGAATAGGTATTTTGAAGAAAACAACACATCATAAAAGCTAGTGCTGATTTAATATCATCTTGTTTTGAAGTCCTATCAAGCTGTTCTACATCTGTTTCCACTGGTTTTAACATGTTGTATCTTACTATACTTTACTACATGCGATAGTATAAATAAAAATTTTTATAGGCAAAGAGACAACATATAAACCATTGTTCGTTTTCTTTTAACTGGTTCTAAATACTCTGTAATTCTTTCATTCTCTTGAATACCTCCACACTGTTTTGATATGCTTGATGCTATAGTATACGAAGTTATACTCAAATATTTCAAGGAAAGAGACACTATGGTAACTACTATTACGTTAGGTTATCTGATGGTGAAACAAAATGATGCTTAAATTGTTTGGTTCTGATCTGCATTGTTCGTTACAATGTCCTCTTTTATCTCAATCTACCCCCTTTTTAATTAATCTATTTTTTCTCATTTTTCTAATTAAGAGAAAACTAAATTAAAAAATAGCGGGCTATATTATAGTAACTTTTTTGTTTTCCTAACCTGATTTGAACCCCAGTATTGCTCCCCCCATCTTGTTCTGTCTGATTATAGTATATTCTATTTTGTTTGATAGTATCAAGTTTGAGGGTATAGCCAATCATTTTGAAGGCAATAAGATTTACTATGATGCCCATTATGGTTTGACTATTATCTTCTTTTGAAGTTCTGTAAGGTCTCCAGTGTAGGTTTTATTGGTTCTGTTCTGTACTGTTTTGATCAATTCTATTATACCTGACGATATAGGCAACTCTTTTTAAAAATAGCAAGAGGCACAATGGTAACCATTTTTGATCACCTGATATTCTATTTTTGCATCATGTACTATGCCCATCCTTCTGTTCTAACTGACTCTGTTTTGTTTAGTCACGTTAGGTTTTATTCTCTTCAAAAAAAGTAATAAGAACTGTGGGAGTAAAAAAACCCAAAAAGTGTAACTGTTATTGTAAAAAAGAGAGGAAAGGAAGGTGGTCTAAGGGATATAACTGCATGTATGTTTGAGTGTGTAGGATGGAAAACCATATTGCTGACCTTTTGTTGGATTATTGAATCTCACTGTAATCTCACTGTATGAATGTCCAATTTATATGCTTTAATTTTATAATTTGAACAACTGTTTATAAGACGACACTATGAAACCTATTAACTAATGATTTCTTAATGTATATTTTTTTCTTGTAATTCTGTATTATTTGTACCCTTTTATTGCTTTGTTCTTTTTTTATTTCCTTTCTTTTTTTCTCTTTAAATAAAAAAAATATCAGCACAGTTCTTTGGGCCACACAGATTACAATTTTACGAAACAGAATTGACAACCGGAGCATTGCCAGGCACTCGTAGAGCATGCGCAAGGGAGGGGGCTTGCAAGGAGCATGCGTATTAGAAAGTGGGGAGGAGCATGCGCATTGGGTGAAGCGTGCAGGGAGCATGCGTGTTGGGAGGGATAAACTCCCCAGTAACGGTGGTGACCCTAACGGTAGGGCGAGTCCTGAGGCTGCTGTGGGGAGCGACCGACAGGCCCTTGAGAAGGACTATGAGGAAATGGATGAGCGCAGGAAGAAGACAGGAGAGGCACGTCCAGTGCCATCCTTGACACCTCGCGCCTAAGGAGCCCAAGCAGCCGCGCGTGGAGGAGGCCCAAGGCCCAGGCGCCCGGGAGGGGCGCGCCCCACAGGCCCCAAGTGTCTGTGCTGGGCCTTGGTGAGCCGCGCGAGGGCGCCGGGCCCTGCAGGGGGCGCTGTAGCCTGGATGGAGATGGGCAGACAGGGCCCTGAGGTAGGAGCTGAAGCTGCCTGGAGAATCCTGGCCTAGCTCAGTGGCGACTGTGTTTAAAAAGTTGCCTTAGGGTCGCTGCTCTGACTGCCTCTGGCCATTTCCCGCACCTGCCCACCAGTGCTTTCCTCTCCCTTGGGAGCTTGGCCGCGTGGACCTGCCCTGCCTTGATGAGTCTCTTAGCACAGTGGAGCAGCTGCCTCAGTCCCACCTGTGCCACAGCATGCCATGTCGCCCTCACCTGCAGAGCCAGACCTGACCTGGCAAACGCACAGTGCCAAGGCCTCAACTCGGAATCATTCACAGCCTGAGGAGCCTCAGGGACCAACCACGCTGCTCCCAGCTAACCTGCAAGATATGGACAGCTATCAGATTTTTCCATTTTTTCTTTGTCCTTATTTGGAAGCCAGACCCACGTCGCAGTCCCCACATGTGTGTGGCAGGTCCGAATCACAGCTGTCCCTGGGTTTCCTTCTCTCAGCTCACCAGTGTCAAGTACCAGTGCATCTCCAAGAACAGTAGCAAGGGCAACATTGGCCACGAGTGCCCAGACTGCTTCTGTGGCTGCTGCCAACACAGCTCTTCCAGCACCCTCAGTTTCTCAGCACACACTGACTCCACGGTGAACTCTGCATTCTCTGTGGATCCCCAAGGATAAGATTCCTCAAGTCCGGGGTCAGTTGCCCCTGACCAGTGGTTAGCATTCCAGGTAGGTTTACATCTCCCCCCTCAGACACCACTCTAGAGGCCACCACTGTCCCTTACATGACTTTGACGTCTTCCACATCAGTGGCCACAACCCAGGCACAAGCTAAGGAACCAACCACCAGCACAATTTCAGTGCCTTCTGCCAGTCCGACCCCTGAGGTGGAAGCCACATCCCCCCAAACACTTGTCATCTACCCATGGAACTGGAAGGCCAACCACCCCCAAAACATCAGAGCAGGTGAAGACCAAAGACACATCTGGAACTGGCTCTGCTGTATGATACCTAGACCTTAGGGAACCCTTAGATGCCAGCTACAGGTTTGCACCAGCCCAGCACCAAAGGCAAGTGTTAGGTTAAGCTCCCCAAAGCAGTGAGGCTTTTACTGCAGATGGGATGCAGTTGGGCCAAGGGCAAAAAGACCATTGACCCCAAGCAAGGAGCCAAAGCATGTTTTATGAGGAAGTTTAGGTATGGAAGGGAGGCACTGGTGAGGGGGTGCAAAATGTTGAGTCTCTGAGTAGGGTTCTGGGGCTGGTTGACAGGACAGTGTTAGTTATGGGACAGTGCTGGCAATCTCTTGTGGTTTTTCATAGAATCGGCTATCTGCAGGTTCAGCTATGGGGGGCAGCTGCTAGCTGGTTGAGCTGTGTAGGAAAGCTGCTAGCTTCCTGTCAACACTGTGCACTTGCAGATGTGAGTAACAGATCTTCTCGGGGAGTTTCTCTCTTTGGGTTAGGCCAGGAATCTGGTGTAGAGACCTGACTTCCAATATCTACTAGTCACTATTGAGAGCATGTTCCCATCCTCAGTGATCAAAACATTCCTTGTTTTGGTGCTTATACTTAGGGTGACCTTTTGTCATCATCTTGGTTTGATTTGCCCTGCAAGCCTACAGGAGCTACAAGAAGGAAGATTACACACAGGTGGTCTATCTAATCAATGGAAGGTATAGAGACTTGGAGACATGAGTGTAGTCTGGGACTGCCTTGGGACCACCACAGTTTGGGGCAAGTCCAGCCTCTTCCTCTGCCTTTTTTTTTTTTTGCCTCTGAGACCCAACCAAAATCCTTTTGGTGCAATTTTGGAGATGTGCAAGATGCTTAGACACATTTAACCACTGTCAGATTAATTCCATGGTTACAAAAGAGTTGCTACTGTTTTATATTTATTTTTGTAAACAATCAAATAATTCTGCTGTGGAATGGGTGGGGTGGGTAGAAGTCCTGGACCACTTGGCCCACAGTGTGTCAGAATGGCTGCTCTCACTTAAAAAATTATAAAGAATAGAAAATACAAATATAAATGTTATCTTAGGGTATCCCGTGGCACAGTTTATAAAAATGACTAGCTGTCTCTTGTGGACAGATATGATATTGTTCTGCATTTAAAACAGAGTATGCTGTCAGGGATTGATATGCATTTACTTCCATTTTGCTATGGAGTTTTAATATCTAAAACTAGGATTTAAAAAAGTATAATCACTAGAAAGCTTTTCCTTCTCCATTTACAGCCTTTATTTTCTGTAGCTTGAGAGAGAACTAAATTGTTACTGTCTCAATGAAACTTATTGTGAGGTAGTTCTTTGGTCAGGTGGCTGGAGATATGAATGGGAAAGTGGCTGGATCTCTCTTAATGCAAGTTGTCATTGATTTTCACCGTGTGTTGGTTGGCTGGTGTCCTAGTAGGAGAACGTGTCCGTATATGTGGTGTGGTGATGATGCAGGAGGAGTCTGTGTAGATTTTACCAGCTGTGTAACTTTGTCTTATAGACACATCCTGCAGTCAGAATCAGCAGGCCTTGGAAATCATTTTCCAAATCCAAGCTTCAGCATGCTGGGGTGTATCATATGGAAGATACCTGATGAGTGAAGCAATGACTGACCAATGCATTGTTTCTGGGACTCAGAAGAGGCAGTTTATACTTCAGGATGGAAGTGGAAAAGGAAATCAGCAAAATCAGCAAAGGCTTTCAAGAAAAGGTAAAATTTAAATTATGACAAAGCGCTAAGCTTTGGTGTGCCACTTATGCCAGCAAATATTACGGGCTGGAAAAATGGTAGGATGGAAATCATCAGCATCCCTCCACATGAGAACAGTTAGACTGGAAGAAGGTTTCTGAAAAGGAGGAAGTAGGAAGTGGTTGAAAGATGGTTTGGGAGCAGTCTTGGAAAGCCTAATTCATAGCTAAGTGCAGGGCATTTGAACCCTGTTCTAAAGGAAGGTAGTGATGGGTTTTTCTCTGTAAAAACTTTTTAATGAGAGGAAGTTACATAAGCCACTTTAAGCACAGTGGCATTTAGTACACTGAGTGATTTTTTTTTATTTAAGGAGAAAAAGAAAAAAAACAGAAAAAGGGTACAAGTAATACAAAATTTAAAAAATAAACAGTAAGAAATCACTAGTTAATAGATTACATATTCTCATCTTAGAAATAGTTGTTCAAGTTACAAAATTAAAGCATATAAAGTGGACTTTCAAACAGTGAGAGTGCAAACAGTTTTGTTTAATGATCCAAAAATACTCAGTAATATGGTTATCTATCTTATACACTTAAACATGTATGCAGTTATAACCTTTAGAGCACTTTCTTTTCTTTTGTACAATGACAACTACACATTTTGAGTTTTATTACTCCCACAGTTCTTACTACTTTTTTGGAAGAAAGTAAAACCAAATGCAACATGTCAGAACAGAGTCAGTCAAATCAAAAGGATGGACATAATAGATAATGTAAAAACAAAATACAAGGTGATCAACAATGGTTACCATACTGTCTCTTGCTATTTTAAGAAGAATTGCCTATATCATCAGTTATAATAAAATTGAACAAAACAGTAAAGAATAAAACCAAAACATTGGAGACATTACAGGACTTTAAAATAAGATAATAGCCAACCAGAATGGGCGTCATAATGAATCTTATTGTCTTCACAGTTGTTGCCTATACTTTCAAACTTGGTACTATCAAGCAAAGCAAATAGGGGAAAATCAGTGAAAACAAGATGGTGAGGGCAATACAGGATTTCAAATCAAGTTAATAGGAAATCAAAGTAGGTTACTATAATGTATCCTGCTATTTTTTATTTATTTTTCCCTTAATTAAGAAGATAAAAATAAAAAAGTAAATAATTAAAAAAAAGGGAGATTGAGATAAAAGAGGGCATAACAACAGAACAGCGCAGGTCAAAACATAACCATTTAAGCACCACAAGATATCCTGACATAAAAATAGTTACCATAGTGTCTCTTTCCTTGAAAACTTTGAGTATAACTTTGTATACTACAGCACCAAACATGAAGGCACTATAAAACCATTCAAGAGAATGACATTATTACAGGGTATTTAGAACCAATTAGCAGAAAATGAACAATGGTTTCTGTATAATCTCCTTGTCTGTAAAAGTTTTTGCTTATATTATCATATATAATAAAATCCAATAAGATACAACCTTTTGAGACCGATTGAGACAGAAGAATACAAGTTTGATGGGACTTCAAAACAAGATGATACTAAATCAGCACTAGCTATTATGATGTCTTGTTTTCTCCAAAATAGCTGTTCCTACCATCCAATCTTCTCTGCCTCATTTCTGTTGAGCTCTTTTTCTGTTGTTTGTTGTCAGTTTGTCTTCTTCATTTCGCTTTATGCTTCATTCATTGTGGCCTCTCTGCCACTATTTCTGGAATCTTGGTATTTTCCTTTTTTAGAATATCCTGCAGTATTCTCTGTAGAGTTAAATTGGTGTTTGAAAATTCCCCTGGTTCCTCTTTATCCTGGAAGCACCTTGTTTTTCCATCAATTTCTAGGGACAGTTGTACAGGATATATCAATCTTGGCTGGAGGTTATTATCTTTCAAAGCTTGAATTATTTCCCCCCACGCTCTTCATGTTTTGATGGTTTGTGCCGAGAAGTCTGCTGTAATTCTGATGGGTGTTTCCTTGTAAGTGATCTGTTTCTTGTCTCTAACAGCTTTAAAATTCTGTTCTTATAATGGATTTTTGGAATTTTGAATATTATATCCCTGGGTGTAGTTTTGTTTGGGTTGTAGGTGGCTGGGGTCCTGTATGCTGCATACATCTGAGTATCTTTACCATTTGCTAAATTAGGGAAATTCTCCTGGATTATTTCTGTGAATAGCTTTTGTAGTCCATTTGTTTGTGTCCCTACTTCTTCTTTTATGTTCTTAATTCTTAAGTTATAGATCCTCTTATCATCTTCTAGCCTTTGTATTATTGCTGTTTGTTTTTTGTTATTTTTAAGAAGTTTTTCATTTCATGCTCCCACATTACAAATCTGCCCTCCAGTTCAGATAATCTATCCTTAGTTTCTTTCAAGCTGTTATGCCAGTTTTCAATAGAGTTTTTAGTTTCCTGGTAATCTCTTTGAACCTGCTTCACGTATTCTATGTTTTTTCTATTTTTTCCATCAAACAATTCTCCCCTTTTTTTCTGTTCTCCCATTCCTCCATCTGTTTTTTCTTGGGTGGTGGTTAGCATTTCTCTAACTATTCTACTTATATCTTGCTTTAGGTCATTAATAACTTCATTCCTGAACTCGTCTATGAGGCTCTGGAGATACTGCTTTATGTCTATTGGTGCCATGTCTGATATTGCATGTTTCTCAGGATTGGGGGCCAAGGACCCTTTCTCGTTGCTCCCTCTTCCCATATTTTTTGTTCCTTTTATACAAGTGTATATAGGAGGCCCAGTTTCTTTCTTTGTTGGTTACAGTTTGTTTGAATTGTGCCGGCTAGGTGTTCCCGCCCACTGCAGTGTACTAGGGAGACACAGACCTGGGCAGCCTCTGCTGGGCCCACCCCTCCAGGTCAACCTACCAAAGGCTTCACTGCTAGGGTACACCCCAAGTACTGGGACCTGGTTTGGGCTAGCTTAGTGGGTCTTAGTCATCGGTGTCACCCAAGCCAGGTACTCCCCACCAATCCCGCTTGAGAGGGGAATATGTGACTGAAGTCACTGCAGTGCTCTGTTCTGGCTAGTCTGCCCGGTCCCCACATGTCCTTTGCTGAAGCCTCCTACTCTATGGAAGGGTCCCCGATCCGCTCACTCACTGCAGGTCGATGCAGGGCTCCTGGCCAGTCCTGCTCTCAACTCCATTCACCGCTTCCCACTCTCAGAGCTTTCGCGCCTCTCTCCTTGCCCTGCTGATTGGGACGCAGCAGCAGCTGCAGGAAATTCAAATTGTGGCTTCCAGTGGCGCGGGCTCCTGCTTCCATGCTGAGACCTTATCTGTTCCTGTTATATCACTGGGATTGCGTTTCCAGTTGGTTTCTCTTAGTTTAGTTTGTTCCTGGGTCGGCAAATTATATCTCTCCTTGCTTAGGACTTCTTGCCTGGCACCATTCCTGGATTTTAAGTGCAGTTTCTCAGAGAGCCTCTGAAGCTGCTGCTATCTATCCGCCATGTTCTCCCGGAAGTCACACTGAATGATTTTTAAGTAGGAGCGTGACTTGATTAGAAATGTGGCACAGTATACTGTGCAGCAGTCCAGAGGTGGATTCGAGATTGACTGAGAAGGGGAGAGAAAGCATGACTGGAAAACCTCTATTAGAATTCAGGCTGCAGTGGTGTAAAAGAGGGAAGTAACAGTAAGGATGGAGAGATGGGAACAGGTGAAATTTGATGGAGAAAGATTCCAACGAGTAGATAGATGGTGTCATGGTTTACATCTGTGGCCCCCAGGCCTCATGAGTTTGCATTGTGCATTGTGATGTTTCATTGTCTATTGCTTGGGTTGATGGTGTCAACCCACCCATATGTGGGTGGAGCCAGGATGTGATGTAATGGCAGGAAGAAGGTGTGTCTTGCTTTTTGCTAGTTCCTGCTTGTTGTTTGTAGCCACCATGAACTGTGGCCCAGCCATGCCCGCCTGTCTTGGAGCCAACTGAGTGTGGACTGAAACCTCCAAAAACTGTAAGAAATAAACCTTTCCTTTCTCAACTTGGGCTTCAGGTATTTTGTCTCAGCAAGGAGTAAAAAGTAACTAAGACAGAATTTGGTACCAAGGAGTGGGGTCATTTCCTGTGACTATACCTGACCATGTTTTTCTTTTTCTTTTTTTCTTTTTCTTTTTTTTTACTGGTACCAGGGATCGAACTCACAACTGCCTGCTTGCAAGACAGGTGCTTATGCTGCTGAGCTAAATCCCCAGCCCTCCTGACCATGTTTTTCAAGAGGCTTTATAAATGGCTTGTGGGCAGAATTTGGAAAGGTTTGGACATGTTACTTGGAGGCATAGAGCTGGAGCAGCTTAAGCTGTTCTGTAGAGGAGATTCTAGTCAGTGCTCAGGAGACCAGAAGGCTGATAGAAAGCCTGATGGTAAAGACCAGGCTAGGGAGGTTTCTGCTGGGAAGAAGGACTGCATTGGTTGTTGGACTTCACATGATGTGTGTTATGGATTGGCAGAAAGTTTGTCTGCATTTGTTCCTGCCCAGAGACTTTGCCTGAGACTGAGACAAAGGGCAATGGACTGATTAATCTTGAAAAAGAAATTAAAAAGAAATCCAACATTGAGGCTGTGGCATGCCTATTGTTGCAGGCTTTTAGCCAGCTCTATGTTGCAAATCAAGAGCAAGGAGCCCAGCAGGATAATCTGCAATACTGTGAGTTTGACCAGAAGGAAAATTCCAGGAAGGCTGTGGATTGTAAAGACAGAGTTGAGATTTTGATTGCTGAGGGGAAACAGAGAGATAAGAAAGATCACCCCGGGGCATCCCAGGAAGCAGGTCTCCACCCTTTGCAGCCTCACTGCAAAGGTGAAAGAATTTGCTCAGAGGAGAAGGCTGCAGAGCACCATGCTCCAGAATGGCAACAGAGGCCACGTGAGGCTCCAGAATGGCAGCAACATAGAGAAGCTTTTCCTCACAATCAAGTAAACAGAGCTCTGAGGTCCAGGCAACTGACCCCTACAGCCAAGAGCGAGAAAAGCCTGGCTACCATTCCAGCTAGCAACAAACCTTGGTGGCATCCACAAGGTGCTGATTTTAGGTGCAAGGAAAATGCACAAATTCTGAGGGTAAGATGGCTTCCATCCCGATTGCAAAGGGCCTGGCAGGCCAAGCAGTATGCCCCGAGATGGCAATTTGTGAAGAAGTAAAGGTGAAGCCAAAGGTGCAGTGGAGACCCCAGAAGTTTGGAAAAGCCAGGAATGTGGATGATCCAAGGGAAGCTGCAAAAAATGAGCAGAGAAGATTTAATAGAAAAGCTGTGGGAGTTGAAATCGCCAGAAGTGTCGTGGGGGAGGTGGAATCACCCAAGCCTTTTGGAGCTTGCAACCAGTTTGCTTCAGATGCTGAGCATGGATGCTGGATGTTAGGCTTGCTTTGTTTCCAATGCTTTCTATTCCACTGTTTGTAACTTTTTGAATGGTAATGTTTATTTTGTGCCTTTGCATTTCAGAAATGTTAACCTTGTTTCATTTGTACAGGGGGTTACAGTTAAGAGTTTACCATAGATCTTGGAGGAGACTTGGGACTTGGACTATTCAGCAATGCTGAAACTGTTAGGGCTTTGGCAACTCGTGGAGGTGGACTAAATGTCTTTTGTATAAAGGATGTGCATGAGTCCTGGGGACCAGGGGTGGAATGTCATGGTTTATGTCTGTGGCCCTTAGGCCTCATGAGTTTGCATTGTGCATTTGTGATGGTTCATTGTTTAGTGCTTGGGTTGATGGTGTCAGGGCTCCACCCACATATGGGTGGAGCCAGGATGTGATGTAATGGCAGGAAGAAGGTGTGTCTTGCTTTTTGCTAGTTCCTGCTTGTTGTTTGTAGCCACCATGAACTGTGGCCCAGCCATGCCCGCCTGTCTTGGAGCCAACTGAGTGTGGACTGAAACCTCCAAAAACTGTAAGAAATAAACCTTTCCTTTCTCAACTTGGGCTTCAGGTATTTTGTCTCAGCAAGGAGTAAAAAGTAACTAAGACAGATGTAAGGTAGAAATGGAAGGAAGAGGAAGGAGAAAAGATGTTATCCAGGAATGAAGACTGTAGCCTTGGAAACCATCTTTGTAAAAATCATAGGTAAAACTTGAAGATTGAGTAAGGTTAACAAAGGATACAAATGTTGAGAAATAAAGGCCATAAAGTAAATGTACTTTGGGAAAACAAACTTTCAGAGATGAAAGGAAGGGAAAAATTTAATGTATAATATGTGAGTGTTTAGAAAAATTGAACTAGAAGAGTTTGTATGACAGAAGATTGGAGAACATATAAGAATCTGATCAAATACTGAAAGAAGGGGCTGGGGATTTAGCTCAGTGGCATAAGTGCCTATCTGGCAAGTGTGAGGTCAAGTTCAGTCACCAGCACCAAAAAAACCCCAAAAAGCAAAAAACAAAAAACTGAAGGAAGATTGAAAACCTTAAAAACTTGAGGAAGGCCATTAATTTTGATAACATAATGTTGGTCATTTAAAATAGTTATAGAACTTTGTAAAAAAGAAGTAGACCAAGAATTTTGTCACAGAAAGGGAGAGACACATAAGAGTTGTTACCTCCCAGGAAGAGCTTTAGGTTCTAGGAAAGGAGAGATTAAAGAGGGGGAAGGGTTCAGGGAAGGAAGTAATAGTGAGCTGGAGGATCCAAGAAAGGGAAGATTGGAACGAGCAAAATCACCGAGTATTTGGAATGGAGTAATGAAGGCATAAATTTGTGACAACAAAAGCAAGGATTACTATATAAAGAAATAATTGGAGAAGTGTAAAATTGTATCTAACAGAAGTTGAGAGCTTGTTTTTACTTTATTTCAGTAAAGTAAGGAATTGATTACCTTATGAGGTGAATGAAGTGCAGGAGCTGGGAGCAGGGGTACAGGGTGATTAGGTGGAAGCAGGAGTTGAGGGTTTGGTGTCATAGATGAGAAAGAGGGGTCGAGAGCACAAACAATCTTGTGATAAATACTTCATGCATTTGGAATAGTGACATCATCTGCCTCCCCCATCCCCACCTTGAGTTTGGAATGTGTTGATGCGATGGAATGTGAGAATCAAAAAATTTTAGAGAATCATTAAGAAGATAAATAAATCTGGTAGCCTGTTGATCTTTTCTATTTAAGTAACATAGAATTTTGCCTGTATATGTAATTTTCAGAAAGAAATACCATGTGCTAGCATAGTTGACTGAGACATTTCCTGGTATTGTATTTCTCATAATTAATGAGGTCTTAGCAGAGACATATCTGTTTGGAGTTTGGAGAGGTTTTAACTTTAATTTCAGAGTATTAGGCAGGAAGTATCAGTCTAGGGCTGAGAGCACTTGCCTGGTATGCATGAGGCCCTGAGGTCCCAACATTACCAAAAAATTTTTTTTCTCTGAATACCCAGTGAGCAAGCCACTTATATTTGTAGGCCACATACTGGTTCTTCATATTTTTTCTTTGTTTATTGTCACAACCTTTTTAAGAACATTAAAGACCCATTTTTGCTGAGAGGCAGAGGCGTAAGAGATCATGGCCTATAGTTTGCTTATCCTGATATAAAAAAGTGAAACTGAGAAGTGTATGAAATGAGCCCCTGGTCAGAAGTCATATGGGGAAAGAACTAGAGATGTATGCCTGGGAATTTCAGTATTGCAATTTTCAATTGAATTTGGATTTATTTTGTTAGCCAAACTGAGTAATTTTTAATTTTTTAAATTAAAGTTGGTGGTTTGTAAAACGACTTGGGACTACCATAAGAAATACAATTACAAAATCTTGGAGAAAAGTAGGACTTCTTAAATAGTGAAATAAACTCATTTCACCATGACAGTGAGGAGAGGATACTTGGAAAGCCACCAGAGTCAGTGTTCTCAAGACTCTGGAAGTTAACTCAAAGCTTACGTCAATCTAAGGAACATAAGTTCAAAAAAGATGCAGAACTCTCCTAAGAACCGTGGGGTTCGTGATGTTTTATCTTTTTCTATCTCCATTTTCACTTCCTAGCCTGTGCTGTCTTTGGAAACAAGCAGCTTTCCAGTGATGGATTGAGCTTGGAACTCTTCAGAAGGCCCTACACCAAGGTCAGTGTCCCAGGTATCTGTCTCATGGTTCTCTATAGCCTCACTCTCTATAGCCTGAAGTGTATGCTGGGCCATCTCTCGTGCCTGGATCTGGGAGCTCAGGAGAGCTGACAGTTCTTCAGGGAGGTGTAGGTGGGGATTTCAGGTGTGCTGCTGAGGAAGAGCTTTGCTACCTTTAACCATCTTCTTTTTTAGTTAGAGAAAAAAAGAAAAACAGAAGAACAGTAGAAATAATATAGAATTTCAATAAAAATGTAAGAAATCACTAGTTGATGTTATATATTGTCATCTTAGAAGTACTTGCTCAAGTCACAAAATCAAAGTATGAAAAGTGGACAGTCAATCACAGTATAAAACATTCTGTTTGATAAACTAACAAAAACTTAGTACTGTGGTTATCTATCTTACATACTTAAACATACATATAGTTATATCCTTTAGAGCACTTTCCCTTTCATTATCACAAAATCTGTTGTACATTTTGGATCTTACTACTCTTTCAGGTTATTATTTTTTTATACTAGGGAGATAATACAATATAAATATAAGTCTGATTTATTTTACTTATGAGGATAGTCTCAAGTTGCCTCCATTTACCTATAAAAGCCTCAAGATTATCCTTCTATATAGCTGAATAATATTTCATTGTATAAAAATACCACATCTTTTTCATCCATTCTGTGGTTGATGGACATTTTGGTTGTTTCCAAGATTTAGCTATTACGAATTGCACTGCTATAAGCATGGGGGCCTATATATTGCTGAGACACGACCTTTTCAATTTTTCTGGGAAAATACCCAGGAGTGGAGTAGCTGGATTGAAAGGAACTTCCAATCCTAGTCTTTTGAGGAATCTCCATACTATTTCATTGGTGGCTGCACCAGGCCACACTCCCACCAACAGTGTAGGAATGTTTCTTTTTCTCCACAACCTCACCAACATTTGTTATCAATTGATTTCTTGATGGCAGCCATTCTTTCTGAAGTGAGATGAAATCTCAATGCTGTTTTAATTTGCATTTCTCAAATGACCGTGATGGTGAACATTTCTTCATGTATTTATTTGCCCCTTATATATCTTCATCTCAGAAATGTGTGTTCATCTCTGATGCCCATTTGGAGAAGGTCTTTGAATTTGGGGGGTTTGATGTTTTTCAATTCTTTATATATTCTGGATACAAGTCCTTTGTCTGAGTGGCTGCTGCCTAAAATTCTTTCCCATTCTGTGGGTTTTCGTTTCACTTTGTTGGTGACTTCTTTTAAAGTACAAAACCTTTTGAATAGCGTGAGATCCCAGTTGTTGATTCTTTGAAGTACTTCCTGTGTGGTTTGTGTTTTGTTCATGAATTTTTTGTCTACCCCTATGTCTCCAAGATTTCTACCTACCTTGTCTTCAAGTAGATTTAGTGCTTCTATTTTAATGTTTATTTTGATCCATTTTGACTTTAGTTTTGTGCATGGTAATAGGCGTGGGTCTAGTTTTCATCTTTGGCATGTGGAAAGCCAATTTCCAACACCATTTATTAAAGAGGCTATCCTTCTTCCAGTGAACATGTTTAGCCACTTTATCAAGTATAAGGTAGCTGAGTCTTTGGAGTTGTGTTTGCATATTCTAATCTATTCCATTGATTCTCAGGTCTTATTTCTTTGCCAGTATCATGCTGATTTTATCACTGCAGCTTTGTAGTATAATTTTAAGTCAGGGATAGGTATGATTCCTGCCTTTCTTTCATGCTCAGGATTGCCTTTGCTATTCAAGGGCTCTTCTGTTTCCAAATGAACTTTAGAAATGTTTTCTATAGCTCTGTGTGGTATGTTAATGGTACTTTGATTGGTATTGTATTAAATGTGTATAACAGTTTTGGAATTATGGCCATTTTCACAGTGTTGATTCTTCTCAACTAAGAGTAAAAAATATCTTTCCATTTTCTGACATCCTTTTCAATCTCCTTTTTTAGAGTACTATAGTTTTTAATGTATAGGTCTTTTACAGCCTTTGTTAGGTTGATTCCTACGTGTTTCATTTTTTAGATGCTATTGTGAAATTATTTCCATAATTTCTCTCTCAGTGAATTTTCCGTTTGTGTACAGGAATGCTATTGAGTTTTGAGTGTTGACTTTATATCCAGCTACACTGCTGAATTTGCTTATTAACTCTAATAGTCTTTTGGTGGAGTTTTTGGGGTATTCTATGTAGAGCATCATGTCACCTGTAAACAGTGATAATTTAACCTCTTCCTTTTCTATTCTTACCCCTTTTTTTCCTCTTTCCTGTCTAATTTCTCTGGCGAATGTTTCCAGAACTATATTACATAAGAGTGGTGATAGTGGACATCCTTGTCTAGTTCCTGATTGTAGAGTGAAAGATTTCAGTTTTTGTACATTTATTATGATGTTGGCTGTTGGCTTTTCATAGATGGCTTTTATCAGATTGACCTAGAGACCATCTATTTTGATCTTGCTAAGGTTTTATCATGAAAATGTGTTGGACTGTATCAAAAGTTTTTTCTTCATCTATTAAGATGATCATGTGTTTTTTGTTTTGGGCTCTGTTTATCTGGTGTATTACATTTATTGATTTGCATATGTTAAACCATCCTTGCATTCCTAGGAAAAATTCCACTAGTCATGGTCTATAATTTTCTTAATGATTTTGCTGCATTCTATTTGCTCATATTTTGTTGAGAATTTTTTGCATTGATGTTCTTTAGGGAAATTGGCCTATAATACTCCTTTTTGGTTTGGTCTTTCTCTGATTTTGGTATCAGAGTAATACTTGCCTCCATGAGTCAGTTAGGGAGAATTGCTTCCTTTTCAATTTCATTAAAGACTTCAAGGAGTTTTGAAATAAAATATTCTCTAAATTTCTTCCAGAATTTAGCTCTGAATCCAATAGGACCTGAGCTTTTCTTTGTTAGTAAGTTTTTAATTATGTTTTCAATTTTAGTAACTGATATTGGATTATTCAAAATTTTTATATCTTCTTGATTCAGCTTTGGTAATTTACATGTTTCTAGGAATCTGTCCATTTCCTCTGAGCTTTCCACCTTATGTAAGTAAAGATTTTCAAAATAGGGGCAGGAATTTTTCTCAGTGGTATAAGTGCCTGCCTGGCAAGCGTGAGGTGGTGAGTTCCCTGGTACAAAAAATTTCAAAATAGGTATTCATGATCTTCTGAATAGCCACAAGATCTATAGTAATTTCATCCTTTTCATTCCTTATTGCACAAGTCTGGGTTTTTTCTTTCTTTTCCTTGATAAGGTTGACTAGGTGTTTATCAATTTAGCTTGCTCTTTCAAAGAACCTACTTTTCATTAATTCTTTGTATTGTTTTCTTAGTTTCAATCGTATTAATTTCTGCTCTAATCTTCATAATTTCCTCCCTTCTGTGAGCTTTGGGCTTGCCTTGCTCTTCTTGATCATGTTTTTTTTGTTTTTGGCTATGTTGATGTGGTGTATTACATTTATTGATTTGCGTATGTTAAGCCATTCCTGGAATAAATCCCACTTGGTTGTGATGTATAATCTTCTCAATGATTTGCTGTATTCTATTTGCCAGTATTTTATTGAGATTTTTTGCATCGATGTTCATTAGGGAAATCGGCCTATAGTTCTCCTTTTTGGTAGGGTCTGTCTCTGCTTTTGGTATCAGAGTAATACTTGCTTCTAGGAATGAGTTAGGGAAGATTGCTTCCCTTTTAATTTCATTGAAGAGCTTAAGCAGTATTGGCATCAAACCTTCTCTAAATTTCTTGTAGAATTCAGTCATGCATCCATCAGGGCCTGGGCTTTTCTTTGTTGGTAAGTTTTTAATCATGTGTCCAATTTCGATAGCTGTTATTGGGTTATTCAAAATTGTTATATCTTTTTGATTGAGCTTTGGTAGTTCATATGTTTCTAGAAATCTGTCCATTTCCCCTGTGTTTTCCACCCTATGGGACTAGATTTTCAAAATAGGTATTCACGATCTTTTGAATTTGCATGGGATCTATACTGATTTCTCTATTTTAAGTCTTTTTTTTGGCGTGGATTTGAGTTTTATTTTTTTTCTTAATAAGGTTGGATAGAGGTTTATCAATTCTGTTTATTCTCTCAAAAAGCCAGCTCTTTGATTCATTAATTCTTTGTATTTCTTTAGTTTTAATTGCATTAATTTCTATTCTGATATTTACAATATCCTTTCTTCTATGAGCTTTGGGTTTGACTTGCTCTTTTCTGGCAGCTTGAGATGTAGCATCAGGTTGTTTATTTGTGCTTGTTCCATTTTCTTGATATGACAGTTTATTGCTATGTATTTTCCTCTTACAACTACTTTAATTGTGTCCCACAGGTTGCAGTATGTTGTATCTGCATTTTCATTGAATTGTAGGTATTGCTTTATTTCTTTTTAAATTTAACCTGTAATCCAATGATTTTTCAGGAAGTTATTTAATTTCTATGTATTTATGCAGGTTTTGTAATTTATTTTGTCATTAATTTCCAATTTCAGTGTGCTATAGTCAGATAATATGTATGAGATAATTTAAATCCCTTTGCATTTACTTAAGAATATTTTATGGGTTAATATTTGGTCTATTTTGAAGAATGTCCCATGCACAGCTGAGAAGAATGTATTTTCTGATGTAGTTGGGTGGGACACTCTATAAATATCTTCTAAGTCCATTTGCTCACTGTTAGGTCTGAGAAGGGTAGAAGAAGAGGGGAAGGAAGGAGTGGAGTGGAGTGGACAACCATGAAAGGAGTGGGTGGCGGTGGCTGCAAAGATAAGAAGTATAAAATATAAGTAACCTTTATTTCGGGAATGCGGGGAGAGACCCCCCAGCCCCTGGGGCGCAGCATCTCCCCCCGGGGCCGGCGAACTCTCTCTGGAACACTCACTCTAACACGTGGAGTGAGGCCCATAAGTAGCCTCTGTCTGGGGTGGACCCCAAGGGGCATTAGGGATGCACAGGTAGCCCATTGGCACACGTTTGGCACCAGAGGCAGGTTCTTAGGGATGG